GAGCCCAGCAGGCCTACTCTTCTGTACAACTTGGTAGCTTTGTCACTCTGGGCCCATTACTTACCTCAGTTTCCTCACCTGCAAAATGGTGACAATAATAGTACAATGAGTATTAAAGTGTTTCGGGCAAAAAGCTTAGCCCAGTCCTTGGCAAATTTTGTGTGTTTAATTTAGCTGTTAGCTCAGTAGCCCAGAAGAAAGTGGCACTTCCAAGGAATGAGCAGTTTATAAAAGGCTAAGTCTTAAATGGTGTTAAAACTGAGAAGCATGACAGAAAGCATAATAGAAGTAAAAGGAACTGGAGAGAAAACAAGACTGGGGCGGGGGGGCGTGCGTGGAAAACACTGAAGGAAAAAGACATATTTGTGAAAACAATGTACACAGCAAGCCAATAATAATGATGTTAATCGTTATATTATTATATGCGCTAGCAGCGATGGTGACAGTTGCTAACACGTATGGCTCTGTTCCAGACCCTGGTGTAAGCACTTTATGTGGATTAAGTCGTTTTACCTTCACAGCGATTCTGGGGGTGATACAGCAGACACTGTCTATTGCCTCAACTATTACTCACCTCTTTCTTAACAGAACCCTACCACTGTTGAGTTCACAGTACCTCCAATGTACCTCTCAGCACTGGACTGAGACAGTCATCACCATCTCACTCTTTTCTGTTGGATACTGTTTTCCTCACCTCCCCTGGAGTCAGGAATGACCCTGTGACTTCAGCTGGGCCAATGAGATTCTGGGGAATGTTGGCTGGGAAGCAAGGGCTTCTGGGAAATGCTTACATCCTGAAACTCAGACATAAGAAGAGGGCTTGTTGGTATTGCTCCTTTCTCTTTCTTCCTGACCACAGGCCATCTGGTGGAGAGCCAGATGGCAGAGCTGAAAGCAATGCAGATTTTGGCTCAAAGGGACGTGGGTGAAAATGCTCATCAGAATTGTTCTACAGACTGGGTGCTTTCAGCTAAGAGTGAATCTGATACATAGCAATGACATTTAAGGACATGGCTGTTTAAGACTGTACAATATAGATAACAACATGTATGCAATGATGACACAAAGAAAAGGTTAATTATGAAAAAATTGTGTCAGCAATATTTCTGTCGAAAAGGCTTAGGGCTTGAATGATTAGCTTTCAATTATCTACAGACTTTGAATTACATAGAACATGTTCTGAGCTGCTGCTAACGTGCTGCAGTCTTCCTTCTGGATGTGTTCAGGTTTCCTGTGACACTTACCACTCACTGGCGGAAGCAAGAATTCTTTGGCTAAGCTGTCCTTGTAGGTAGTCACTAAGAGCTTCTGCCCTGAGCTTTGGGAGACCTTGAATATTCCCAGCTGCTGGAAAGGGGCAGTGAAATAGCTTCTAGCGGGGAGTGATGTGGCTCAGGAATAGTTGGGGTTGAAGATAAGTTACACAAGACCCTCTTCTTCTTGGCTTCCTCCTTTCCCCCATATGCCCCACTTTAACTTACAGAAAGTAGACACTGGAGAAAAGGCATGACAGGAGGGAGTCCCCACCTCATTTCTCCACATCAAGCTCCAGCCACCAATTTATTTCACCTGCACAAAGATCCTGAAAAATGATTCATGGTCACTATGCCACAAGATATCATTAATTCTTACAGATGTTTCTATGGCCATGATAAAGTCTCAGGGTCAAGTCTTTTTTTTTTTTTCTTCTTACATTCAGTTTGGGTCAAGTCTTATAATACAATTCTACATCCATGTTCCTTAGGCCTTGACATAGAGACATAGAGCTTGGGACACATACGAATTCTAGAACTCAGATCTAAGGGTGACTTCAGAAATCGTTTTATTCTCTTTAACAGCTGTGAAATTTTAGGCTATGAATGAGTAACCTATATTCCCAACTGGATTCTAAGATCCTTGAAAGCAGAACCTTTTCTCACTTTTTCTGGCATCGAGCATGGTTCTAAGAATACACAGCATACACCACATATATTCAAATAGTACCTCCCCACAGATATTGATAAACTGTCACGATTATAAAATAAGCAAAACTTGGGGCACCTGATTGGCTCAGTTAAGTGACTGACTCTTGTTTGCTCAGGTCATGATTTCATGGGTCGGTCATGAGACTGAGCCCCACCTGGGGCTCCACGCTCAGCAGAGAGTCTACCTGAAGATTCTCTGCCTCTGCTCCTCCCCCCACGTGCTTTCCCTCTCTCAAACAAATCTTTAAAATAACTAAGAAAAAGATCATCAGTGTTTGTGTGTGTGTGTGTGTACGTGCATGTGTAAGAAATGGGTCATGCGATTTAAGTCCACTAACAGCTCATTCGGAAACTCAGTTGATGAGTACCCTGACAAGGACTCCAACAGCCTCTAAACCACTGAGTCTGGTGGTCCAATACCCGCAGGGCAAAAACCTCTCTAATTTAAATGCCTGAATTTAAGAAACTAAGACCTTATAGTTGGAACAGGAGGGATCTTGTCCATTCTACCTCTGGTTAACCACAGAGAGTCCAGGAAACTTTAATTCAAGGATGACCAAGTACTGGCAAGGATTAACTGTGGATTTTGGAGTCAGACACGCTGGGGCAAGATGTTAATGCATCTGAGCCCATTCCCTCCTTCAGTGGACGGGATACATACTTCAGGTGACTGCAGTGAAGATCAAATAAGAAAATGGATGCCAACTGCCTAGTCAGACAAAATAATTTCTACTTTGCTTTATGGCAGCATTTCTTGCCTAGCCACGGTGAAGCTGAGCCTGACATCAGGGGAGGAGAAGAAACTGCAAACCTGATCATTCTGAGTTTTACTGTATCAGCCAAGATCAAGTCGATGGTGCGCGACTAACAGTATGTGTGGCCTGGCTGATTGCTCGTCAACTGACAGAGAAGCAAACGACCGATGAGCTGAATTTAGACAGGCAGGCTGGCATAACTTGCATTTCACATGGTTTCTAGCCACGTGGACTGATTCTCTGTGCTCGTTCCATCTGATAAAGTCTACTTTTTGATAATTCCAATAAAAGAAAGAAATCAGTAGAAAAATTAGCAAGTAGGGAATGAAGAGTCCTTAAAAAACAAACCAGTCTCGCAAAGGAAAAGGAGAGACCGAGCATCTCAACTTATCCCACTGGAAGAGGATTCTTTCTCTCCCTGTTCTTCACAGCTGGCGCCCTGGGAGCAATTTTCCGTGGCCGCTGAGAGAACAGTCCTCAGCAGGCTGCACAGATCGGTCTCCTCAGCTGTCTCCCCTGCTGCTTCTCTCACCCTGGGCTGGCCATGTGGCTTCGGGCCCTTTTCCCAGCACACCTTAAAGCACTATCTCTGAACCTTAAGAAATAATCAAACTTTGTACCTTATTTATAAATGTAGCAAGTCTAATCCATTCCTGGAGATCGTGATACACCAGACCACACTTTATCTTCCTTGTGTCCCCACTTCTTTGGTTAGTATTGTGCTCTATTTTCTGTAGTTCCTAATGTGGATGGTGTGTACACACACACACACGCACACCCTCTTTTTGCATTTTCCAAGCATTCAATTCCAGTTTCAGATGAGTAGGCTTTTAAAACTACATATACTCGTACTTTGACAGATCCCTACATCACTGAGCTAAAATGGTTTCGATCTGAGCTCTTCTGAGTTTATTGTGAAGAATAAAACAGCAGCAATAACAACAAAGGAAACTCAGCATTTTCCTGTGTTTCTGTTACAAAGGCATGACTGGAAGATCGTGAACGGTAGAACAGGAACAGCACTGAGCGAGTCCCCTGCGGCTCTAGAGAAGGGGTCAGAGGTCAGCCAGCCAGATGATGAAGGGATAGTAACCCCAGGGTGCTGAGCACTCAGTTAATCCTCACAGCCCTCTTGGTGTCTTAGGAAGTTCTTAATGAGGAACAGAGCCTTAGAGCCTATAAAGATCTTCCCCGAAATTACAAAATGAATACAATCCCATGTTTAACTCCAGAGCCAGACTTCTTAACTGGGGAGCTATTCTGCTGGGGTATAAATAAAAATATAATTACCAGGAATAACACCAAAGCACGCAGAGACAAAGTATGCATTTCTGTGTGTCTGTGTGTGTACACACACACGTGTACATGTGCTAAAGCGGTATTCGAAGAGCATTATGAAACGCAGTTTGAACAAATCCCAAGGAGGGGTAGATTTTGGTTGTAGTTTTCTAGAAGCAGGTGAGTTTGGGGCTGGGCTTTGGACTTGAGGCAGAACATGCGCTTGGCAGAAAGCTATCTGCTGGGCACACATTTCTGGGAAGCAGAGAGGCCAGGTCTAAGGTACAGGTTATGCTGCAAAGACAATGGGCAGCTGCACACTGCTGCTCAGGGAGAGAGAAGCAACGGTAGCAGCACTGTGCATTCTGCAGCAGGATAAGCGTAGAGTCAGAGAAATATCTAGCATTTGGTTAAGACCCTCAGAGTTATTACAGTTCCTGATGAAGGGAATTCTACAATTGTTTCTGTAAAATTATTCTAGTTAACTGCTCACTGGATTACTGGAGTGGAGAAACCGAAAATAAGGAATAGTTCATAAATTTCAGTAGCCTAAGATAATCAAAGCCTGATCTGGGTGGCTATGGGGAGAATTTTTTACTATTATTATTTTTTATTACCAAGGTCTGCAATCACGACTTCAGACACTGTGCAATTTCCTAATGGCTGAAATGATTATCAGGCTAGAGGGCAAGCTGCCAACGGAGCAATCAGAGCTAGATGCACTGGACTTGGGGTTCATCTATCAGAGATGATTTTAAATCAGTGTGGGCCTGCCTGGATGCAGAAGGGGAGATGCCAGTCGATGTGAAACTCCCCTCTTCAAATTGTTCTCACCATTTTATTTCCCTTGGTGCCTTCAGTGATCAAATCCACAGAGTCCAAGGAAAAAAGAGAAAATACCCAATTAAAGTCTGCAAAATGCATCAAAACAAACACAAGAGGATTCTCAAAAGCCTGTCTTCCAGACCCCGCCTTCACCTAAGAACCATGCAGGAGCACTTACCGCAAACATCCACTCTGGGAGGATGCGCTCTCCACATAGTGTTTCAGCGCAAGCTGGAATTCTTCCAAGTCCTCTTCTATCACAGACATCTGACGCTGGACAAGCATGATGTGCTACCGAGGAAGAGGCAAGGGTTGCAGCCTGGCTGCCAGGTAACCTCGCTTCAGCTGACCCCCTGTGCCCATCCCCCCCAACAAAGCAAATAATTCTCATCTAAAAATATGACCAAAAGGGAGACCGTGACTAATCCAAGGAATACATTCTATAAAAATTCTAATACAGGCAGGATACCTTCCTTGCTTCTAGTAGAAGGTGGTAAAGACAGTGTCTCCCGAGGATACACTTCCCTTTTAAAAACAATGGTTCTCAATTAGAAGCCCTAGGGAGGTTTCAAAATTGCTACGTTAGAATCTCTGGAAGGAGGGTCCAAGCACTAGTATTTATACAACCCTCACCACCCACTCCCAAGTGACTCCAATGCGCAGCCTAGGCTGGGATGACCAGCCTATGGTCATTTTTACAAAGTAGTCCTACTCTACACACTGGACAGCTCCAGCTTCACCTTAAATATTTCATGATATTAAACATGTGTAAAATTACAAACAACCAAACTTCAAAAAAATGTGTGATCGGTGTTGCAGTTCCAAAAGTACATTAGCCACTGATCACATACCATAGGCCCTGCTCAGATCTCATGGCATCAGTCGAAGCCTGTGTTTAATGGATCACACTGGGCTGGATGCCAATTGCTTCCTGTAACAAATCCTATTATGTTTATGGCACTTGTAGTTTGAAGACTTTCCTATAGATATGCCTATGGGCTTCTCATGGCACTTCGATCTCAAGATTAAGCCTTTCCTCCATCAAGGGTTAGGAACCACAGAAATGCAAGAGAAAAAAAAGTAAGGATTGGGAGTGAATTATAAAAATGCAAAACAACAACAATGTAAGGAAAATTCAGAGTATGAGAAAAGTAACTTGTACAATATTACCCAGCTGCGTAGTGGTAGAGCCAGAATTAAGCCCTGGTTTGTGTCTCCTCTCCAATGAGTTTCTCACTTCATGTTAATAGCTACTGTTGTTGGAGAACAGTTGTATCTTAGGTATCATATGAGGCACTTTATATATCCAACAATAGTGCCTACTTTGTTTTTCTACAGGTAAATGGTAGGTGCTGGATTCTGGGTATACAGTGACAAATTAAGACAGAAACCTTACCTTCATAAGGTGTAGTAAAGAAATCGACAAGGTTGTTTTGTGGGTTTTTTTTTTTTTTAAGATTTTATTTATTTATCTGAGAGAGACAGAGATAGAGACAGCATGATTGGAGAGGAAAGGGAGAAGCAGACTCCCCACTGAGCAGGGATCCCAATGTGGGGTTCGATTCCAGGACCCGGGGATTATGACCTGAGTGAAAGGCAGACACTTAATAACTGACTGAGCCACCCAGGTGCCCCAAGAAATCAACAAGGTTTGAGAACTATGTCTATGGAATAATTTTAGGTATTGATCCTAGCACATGAAATTACCTATATGTAAATTGACCAGAAGTCTATTAAATTCTTGAAAGAACTCTATTGTCAAATAGCTAAAATCTTCATCCCAGTCTCAAAATCCTTTGATTGTGTAAACCTTAAGGTAATATATTTGGGCCTCCAAACTCAGATGAGCAGGAAGCAGGCTATCAATACTGCATAACCCCTAAAAAAGGCAATACTCTTTGATAAGCTGTTTCTGATGTGGTCATGGAGGAAAAAGAACCAAAAAGAAACTCTCAAAACAACAATGGATAAGAGAGTTCCTCCCAGAATGGGGAACCAGAACTTCCTTCACTGACAAATAGTTTCCCAGCATGAATTCATTGTTGCAATGAACCAGTAAGTGCTGTATGCTTCCTAGTCATGCCTTTCCTGAATTACAGTTTTTATGACATTTCTCCTGGCCCAGTTTTATCACTGTGTATTTATCTGTGTGTTTTGGGGGTGTGGTGAGGGGAGATAACTTACTTCTTTATTCATAACTGTGTCAGACTACAAGGGACCACATCTTGATCTTACAGGGAGGACTGATTCTCACCCAGGAAGCCAGACTTTGAGCTAGCAGCAGTAATTGGAGGAGACTTAGGGTGGTCTCCTTTGTGAAGGCGTCTATATGTTCTATATATGTGATAAGAATGAATATTTGATAATCAGAAGGTTCACTGTGGCAGAAACTCCAAACCGTTTTCCCCAAATCCATTTCCTCTTCTTCCTAGGCACAGAGTACGTTGTCTATCATCCTTTGGAGTTAGGTGTAACCAAGTGATGAGTTTCCACCAACAGAACACAAGCAGAAGTGCTGCACATTGCTTTTGGGCCAAGACTTTCAAGAGGGATGTAAAGCCCCTCCATGTTCTCTTCCCCTTTTCTGTTGACAGAATGACCTGCCTTAGGAATGGCAGAGCCACACTTGAGAGGAGAATGTATCCCTGAATCCTTGTGTGTACTGTTTTCCTGGGCAAGGAAAAAAATCTTTATTATATTGGAATCATTCTTCATTTGGGTCTAACCCAGTCACCTTAATGAGTTAGGTGATTTTAATTGAGCTTTGTTTATTTCCCTTTAGGATCAGAGATCAAGAATCAGTAGATATAAGCCTATAACTATCTCCTAAGATTATGTAATGAACAATCAGCCTCCTGTACCACTATCTCAGGACCTGGCTTTAGTATCACTAACTAAGAGTTAAAGTTAATCTCTGCCAAAATAATTGTGGACGTGTCCTTTTGACAGAAATCTACAGAGACTTCCTGATCATATTTGTGATGAACAATGACTCAGATGATTTCTCCTGGGCTTTCTTAGTGAGATTATATAAGTATATCTACCTATTCCACTGTAATTCGTTTAGTCTGAAGGCAGATCTTATGTGATCTAAATTGCAACCATGAATAGAATCCTTCACTACTTCCTGAAGACATGCACTTCAAAATGTGGCTTTTTAGCTTCTTCTATCAAAATGTGGATCCTGTTATACTTTCCCTTGGATCTGGGACAGTCTTATAACTTGCTTTGGTACAGGAGTCCTAATATCTTCATGACATTTCTGTATGTCTCTAATGTCAAATACACAGCCTGAGATCCTTACTGAAATTTCTTGGATTTTTTTTTTTTTGAGAAATTTCAGCTTTTTAAAAATCTCTGGAGACAGAAATATTTTAAAGAAAACTAACTTGTTTCATGTTTCTAGCTCTACTTACTACATTTACCATTGTGTTCCAAGCATGTCTTCAGAATAACAGCCTTTCTTGTGTGCTCTTGTTCTATCTCATAATAGCTATTGCAAAGCAAAACTATGTCTTAAGAGTTCCTGACATATTTGTTGGCAATAACCCTCAATACGCATGATATTGTGTGGCAGGATTAATTTACTTCACAAAATATTATTATTGACAGGCTCTATGAGGGTAGAAAGGCAAAGAAATATATTAGATCTATAAACTCCTATAGTATAAGCCATTCTGGCATAAACAATAATGTGCTCAGGAAAAGTTACAGTTTTTGAAAAGCACTGGAATGGGATCAAAATTATATTGACTCCAAAAAGAACCTTTTTGAATATACGAAATATGTAGGAAATCATCATCTTTTTCCAACAGTTGTTTGATAGGAAGTGCCATGCAAGGCATACAATGGCACCAAGCATAAAGGATTTGGGTGGGCAAATATAGCTGGCCAGATCCAGGATGTGTGGTCTGGATGGGTTCCCTTCAAAAACCATATTGACCTTCAGTGATTCACACTCCTTGCCTTAGTACTTGACGGCTAGAAGACAATAAATTACTCCCAAGTTTTCCATGAGTCATAAAATCACAATCCTGGATCTTAGATCTCTGATGTATGTTTCCTATTCTATTATAACAAGAGTAAAATTATGAATTCTGAAGGTTGTGGTCTTTATAACATGCTTTTTACAAATCATTTGGAACATTCTGATCCTCTTACATAAGCCCCTAGTGTTGCCCTTTTAGTTCAACATCTGAACAATTCAATGTTATCAGAGATATATAAATATTTTTTCAAATTCCTGTTTATTCTTTTTGATTTCACATTAAATACTGTGTCATTCTCAAAGCATTCCCTGGCCTCCTAAGTTAGATTGTGTTCCCTTGCTGTGCAAATCTGAACTTTTCTATAATAATCCTCAGCACTGTGTCCTGTAGATCCTTGTTGAATCACTGCAGGTCCTTCTGGTCTGTCTGGTAGCGCCTATAATATTTACCCCTTTATCTCCAGACCCTCCTCCAGAGCCTGGCACTTGGCTGGTGATTGAGTTATTAATGGAACAAACAAGCAAGAACTGATTTTGCTTTCAGCCAGTGATCATTTTTAAAAGCTCTTTAATAAATGTTATTTATGCACTATTCATTCCAGTAAAAAAGATTTGAGGTGGTCCCACAAAGTGTAGAGGTCTGCATCTTTTTGTTCATCTGCCTCCACCATATTGTCCTCTTTCCTTTGTCCTTTAAGAGCAAAGAGTACACATATTAAAAAAAAAACTTCGCTTCTCTTTTACTAGCAATGTGGCCTTGAACCAGTTACTTCTTTTCATCCTAAGTCACCGAATGAAATTGGAACAGTGGTGCTTATATCACAAAGTTTGGGGGAGGATTAAATGGAATAGTGTACATAAAAATCTTGCCCAGGATAGATACTCAATAGATGTTACTTCTCATACTCTGCTCACTGAGGGGGGAAAAAAAAAAGAAAGAAAGAAATCATATCCTAGACTCATCATTATGTAATGACTCACATTCCTGAAAACTAGATATGGCAGCTAGTAGGGTTTGGGACTTTGGCTGTGTGTTTAAATAGGCCTACCAGATACGACTGTTCTGCTCTAATGTAGAAAATCTCACGAAACGGAGTCATCTGTTAGCTCACAACCTCACTGGCAGAAAACAACTCCACTTTAGTGTCCCAAGATGCACCAAACGCTGGAGTGGAGCGATTACAGTGTGGAGTACAGGTCTAACGTAGATCTGGGGTCTGGCTAGGGTATCGATATCCTTCCATACCGTAATTCTCCATCTGCAAAATGGGGTTATCAATTGCACCACCTCCTACGGCTCTGATGAGGATGAAGTGAATTACAGATGTGTGTGTTTCACACAATACTTGGCACGTCACAAAGGCTCAGTGTAGAGTAGCTTTAGAAAATAAAATCTATCATAACCATTTATTTTTTGCTGTCTGGTATGGAATTTATTTTTCAAGGTTCTCATATATTCATTAAGGGAAAAGGAAAATCACCTCTCTAGCCAATAAAGCCTTAAACTGGTTTTGGACACCAAGAGAAATGAGCCCAGAGGAGCATGCGACGCTGGGGGCTGGCTGTGAACAATGGATATCTGTTTTTGTCATTCCAAGTAGAGAAGGTTTTATAAGTATCCATGGTGAGGTGTTACTACCACTAATGATAAAGTACCACTTTTAATGACAGGTAGCTTATTGGTATCTTTGAGAAAAAACAAACTTATTCAAATCCTTACTAAATGTGTAGTCCCAAAGAGCATAATTATTTTACCTTTACGTGTGGCTGAAGATAGTTAAGGAATATCCTTTTCTGCTTTTCAACAATATTGACTGCTGCACTTTGCCCAATCCTACTTTGTTAAGTACTTCTATGCGCTATTGAATTAGTAATGCTGTGTGGGTTGATAAATCTTTTAAAATTGACGTTGGCCTCTCCTCTGTCAGGGACCAGAGAATGGAACAGTCTGTCACCTTCCATCAACAATCCTTAGACAATTTTTCTCCCACTTAGCTAGTGTGAGAGAAGAGTCTCACGTTAGGATATTATGTAAGAATAGACAATGGTCTCTCTCAACATTAGAAATGTTATGTTCTGTTGTCTTGACTGGAGTGTAGTTTTCCCTACATGCAAATCTAATTGACGACAGATGTAAGACTGCAAGGTCACAGTCCTGTGACTAAGGGACTGCTGGGAATAATATTCCTAATAAGTGCACTCAACAGCCTTTTCCTCTCCTCAAAAACGATTCTGCTTCCCAACAAAACCTACCCCTTTAGAATTCTGGGTGCCTGGTGAATTAAAACAGACCACACCCCATCTTTGGAGGAACAGAAGCCCTGAACATAATATGTAGGTTACCTTTGGGAAAGTGTTCATATCTATAGTATTCTAATTATAACATCATTATAAAGCTTTCCTCAGAACCCTCTACAGCTTCCCCTTTGAAAACTCTCTGGGCTTTGAGTCTGGATTGATGGGCGGGAGCAGAAAGAAAGGTGAGCCTCACCTTCTGGCACATAGGCAGGCAGTGCCTGTGGAGTAAGGGCCCGGGACAGAGATGAAAGGTTTGCCTATCTTTGTCTCCTGTAAATGTGATGGCTCCTAGAAGATCTACATAATATACCTTTAAGGTATTAAGAAAAGTGATTTTCTGTGAGTTGTCAAGATCTTAAAATCCAAATTTCTACTAAATGTGAATGCTAAGATCCACTTTCCCCCAAGAGACTGTGCTACAAATATTTGTCTCAAAATAACAAATCATGATATGTATTTTTCAATTTCAATTTCAATTAGGTAACTTACTCATAAATTTCTTATTTTGTGTCTCAGTGCCTATTAGCATCACTTTTTTCTCTCTCCATCTCTATAAATTACCACCATTCTGGATGGATGTCTTTTCCCTAGGAGCATAAATGTTCCTTTTTCTCTAAATGTCAATTTTTTTTCTTAAATTTTTTTTTTTTTTTCTGAGCACTTACAGTGTGCCTGGCCCTAGGACAGAAGCTGGAGATACAATACTGAATAGCATCAAGTTTCAGCTCAGGTGGAACACTCAGGCTTGGAGGGTTGATAAAATGTTGTTCGTGATGTATTCTGGATGTTGCCCTTCTCTTCCAGTCACATTCATTCAATTATTCAATAACTCACTGATTTACGTATGAATAAAATTGTCATTCTGCACATATCACATGCTAAGTACTTGCATAAAAACCCTGTAAAATAGGCATTAGGTTTCCACAAATCACAATTTTGAAACTACTACTTAGGCATGCAAAATAAAATATGTGTTTGTACAATTTCAAATTTTCACTGAGAAAGTCACTAATTTTGAAGAAATTAAATGTTTTCAAAGTGTATATTTCTGACATTTTCACTTAGGAAAAAAGTACTTACAGATTTAGTATTCCCTTCAATAACTTCTTCTTCCCGTGGTTCAAGTTTGAGATCCTTCAGGTGGAGAAAGAAATGGGAAAGACAGGGACCAGAAATGAGATAAAGGAAACACCATATACTTGAATGTTAAGTCTTTTATGGCTAATGTTGTACCAAAGGAACCTCATTATCTGAAAGGAAATGGAGTAATTCTGACTTAAAACAAATGAAAACTTTTTGAAAAATGAAACCATTTAAAAAAATGAAACCAGTAAAACCTCTTTTACCCATTTATCAACAGTAAAAAAGCCATTTCAGATGTGTTTGTTATTACTTTAATTTTACTGATGACAATAGAAGAGAACAAAATGGAGCAGATTCATTTGAATAGGGAAAGAACAGGACAGGAAAAAGAAAGACTAGGCTGACTTCTTTTGCTGTTAGTACTGATTGCCACTGATTGCCCAAGAGGCAGATCTTGACAGACATTAGTGCAACTGCTATAATACTTTTATATTCTAGTGATAATTTGACATTACTAAAACATGATGAATTCAAAAGCAAATCAAAACACTTTTTTGATATTTCCTAAAAATCAAGGATGGCTAAAAAGACCCTAGAACTTTCTACAGTCATCAATGGATGATGTTAATATCTCCAGTGAAACCAAGCATGCAAACTCCCAGGGCTTCATTCTAAGAATATATATCCTAGCATCTGTGGTACATGAGGATTATCCACAATAATTCCTTCAAGGAGATAATAAACCGAGAGCTGTAGAAATCCAGACTGTCCAAAATAACATAAACTTGTTAAAAACAGAGCTATGTAGCTCTAGCTTTGCTGTTCTCTTATGATTAAACCTGAAGCAAGTTATTTAACTTTTCTAGGATTCACTTTGACCATTTCCTCTGTCTTGAATTCTCTATTCCTAGAGATTCACCTAGCTGGCTCCTTCTCCTCTCTCATACCTTAACTCCAATATCACCTTCTTAAAGTGACCTTCCTGGGTCACCCACTTTAGGTATCTACCCCCTCATCATTACCATACTGCCTTACTTTGTCTTCACGGTACTTTCGCTCTCTGAAATTACCTTATTTCATTGACTTGTTTACTGATTTTTCTCGGTCTCTACTGGACCAAGGACCTTACCTATTTTGATCACAGCTGTACTTCCACTGCCAGAATAATACCGGGCATAAAGCAGACGCACAGTAGACAATAGCTGAATAAATGAATGGCTGAATGAATGCCCCACTGAAATCATAGCTTCCCCCTGAAGTCAAGGAGATGGAAGGCAAGGGGATGAATCTTCAAAAATGCTCCACAGATAGAAACTCTAACAAATGGGATCTCCTTGACCACTCTGTCCCTAATACCAACTCAGGTATACTTTTTGCTTCCACATTCTTTGATTGATGATAAGAACAACCTAAAACAGGTGGTATGAACACAATGAGGATGTTTGAAAATGTTTTCTGCAGAGCTCAAGGACAACATAAAATATGATCTCAATATATCCCCATAAATCCTCACAGGGGCTGAAATGGGAAGAATGAATGCCTGAAGGAAACTAGTAATTTCAAGGATTACTCCCCCTCCCCCACATGAGTAGTACTGGGTTTGGCTTATGGTGCAGGAGGGATTTATCATACTAACTGCAAGAAAAGATAACATGTGCTCCCCTGCAGGAACATGTCCTTCTAATGGGGAGATCAAACCCGGTGCCAAAAACTGCAAGAGACAAGAGAGTCAACTGTGAAATGACGTGCACTTAGCTACTGTTTGGCAATTGGGTAGTTTTTCCTCTAAAAGCCAAATTCACAGTACAGAATAAGTTGTAGAAGAACACAGAACTTGCACTCCCTCTCATTCATTAAGACAGACCATGCTGAGACCCACACAGCTGGGATCCAATGCCCAAGACCATCACATCATACTTTCAGCAAACCTCTCAGATTCTGTCCTCAAAATGAAACCCTTTCATAGGAAGGGAGGGAGAAAAAGTCTAGGAAAGAAAGAGATGTGATAATACTCTGATTTAAAGTTGGAAAAAAAAGGCATGACCTAAGTTAAAGTTATTCCTTTAAAAATAGCTCTATAAAGTTAAGACACCAAATAAAGAGAAGTTTGCCAAGAATTTCAAATCTATTTTAAAAGGAGAAATTTATGTTCTTTAAATGAATCTGAAATTATGTAACAATGGACTCTTTATGTTTTAATAAGATTTGTTTTCCAAATAGAGGTCATGCATTTCCATCTTCCATGACTGGAAAGCAAATTTTCATAGCCACCATTTTCCCTATGATTATATTTAATCTTAGCTCACATAACAATTGATAAAATTAGGAAGAAAGTTGAATTGCAGCAGCTCTAAGTTTAGGTTATTTGCCCAGTAAGTGGTCAATGTTAATGTAACAAATGGTGATATGGCAGCAGAGGGACTAGAACTCTCCTAGGTTTCTTCCTCTGGACCTGGTTCCTTGTACAGAATCTCCTTCTCAGAGATCCTCCTCAACTCAGGACATGGAGTTTCATCTTTGTGGAGACGGCTCTTGAGACCTTAAACTGTTGGCCTGGCTTCTTGCTTAGTAACATCTAACTGAACATTTTTGCCTGTGTCCTAGTGGATCTTGAAATTAACATACCTAATCAACAAATTCACCTCACCTCACCCATTATCTCTCACTTGTCTCTTTCTTTCTGCTAATGATACAATTGACTAAGGCACTCAGACTCAAATTCTCAGAATCCTATCTGAGATTCCCCTGTCCTTTACCCATCAAACCCATTCAATGATCCTGTTAATTTCACTCAAGTCTTTCAAAACTGCCATTTTCTTTTCAGTCATACACACACACATACACACACACATACATACACCCACCCACACACATATATATATTTCAGTCATATATATATGACATATATATATTTTAAGATTTTTTATTTATTTATTTATTCGACAGAGAGTGACACAGCAAGAGAGGGAACACAAGCAGGGTGAGGGGGAGAGGGAGAAGCAGACTTCCTGTTGAGCAGGGAGCCCAATGTGGGGATTGATTACAGGACCCTGAGACTATAACCTGAGCCAAAGGCAGATGCTTAATGACTGAGCCACCCAGGTACCCCTTTTCGGTCATATATTACAGGCCCATCTCTTGCCATACTTGATCTCAGTGGGCTCAGATCTGCAACTTGCTCCTTAATGTCATTGCTTGAGCTGGCTTTGGTGGTTCGAGTTTTCTTGTTTGAATTCAATTTGTATTCTTGCTGTCCAATTTTCTAACTAAAAGATCTTTCTGGTTATGTCACTTACCTGTTGAAAAATAATAAATGCCTCCTATTGTCTCCAAGACAAGTCCAAATCCCTTACTCTGTTATTTAACACCATCCGTAATATGGCCCATATCCATTCACACAATCTTATTTGTTACCATTTTCCTAAAGGAAAGAATCTAACCAGGCTGGCCTACTTAGGTTTTACTCATGCTGTCACCCTTACCTAATGTCCTCTCTAGGTGCTCTCTTTTTACTAAAAATTTACTTTTCCATAACAAATATCTATTTGTTCATTGGTTTATTAGCAGACTAGTATTTACTCCAATTTTAATGACAATACATTTTCCTTTCAGTAAATTCTCTCTTCTCCTTTCAATACAGTGCTCTAGGACCATTAATCAAGATGTTCTTCCCTTCCTTATCCAAGTAATCAGCCTGGGACCCTAACAAGACCAACCAGATTCTACCCCCTGGAAAATGGAATCTTGAGCATAATGTCAACAGACTAGAGATGGTCGGAACTCACTTATTCCAGTAGAGGTAGCCTGAGAGACCACTGAGCATTTCTCACTTAGATCTCTAGAGTTACTGTGTCTCCTGACTTTTCCTGAATCCCAGTTTCTATACCTTCTATTGATTCTGTGAGCACTCCCATACCTTCCAGAAAAAAATTTTATTACAGAGGTGATTTCTATTGCTTGCAAACAAAATCCCTAATTGTCATCGTTTAAAGGCCCGACTCAAGCCCCTCCAGCCACACTAAGTCCTTGCCAAGCATCTTAGTTTGCAGTGATCTTTCCCTCAGGAAGCATCTGTAGACTGTAATTAGCATCTGTTCTACTCCTTTGGCATGTCTCAGTCAGTTAGCAAGAGTTCACTGAGCATTAACTATGAAGCTGGTTCTGTGCTATCACATACTTTAAGAAAATCTGTTAACTTTTATAATAATGCTTAATTTTACAAGCAGGCTGTAGGTTCTTCAATGTCTGTAACTATCTCAAACATAAACATTTCTTCCTTTGGTGCCTGGCGTGACCAGAAAACACATATTCTTACTGACATATCCTGCCTCTTCCATCAAAGGGAACACCAGTACAATATTAGGACTGCAGGTACTAAGTGAATTAGTCAACAGAAATAACTTGAAACATGAAATATATATCTGAAAAACTTGTCACATCCCTACTTGGTTGCTCACTGGGTGCCAAAATTCATCAGTTAGCAGGCTAATTTACAGAAGTTGCAAATGTAATTTCACCTTCTAGTATCTCATACAACCACTTTCCTGAATCACTCTGAAACACTCCCAGGACGTGGGCCAGGTCGTCCCTACAAGCAGTCGTCTGCGTCATTCAGGTGCACTGCTACCTACAGCACAGGTAACCTAAGAAGCAGGCAGTACAGTGCATTTATTTAACTTGCAACTCTACATCGTTTTTTAAAAATTTTTTTTAAAGATTTACTACTTTATTGGAAAGAGAGAAAGAGAAACTATGCGTGCCTGCACAGGAGCATGGGAGGAGGGGCAGAGGGAGAGGGGGAAGCAGGCTCCCCGCAGAGCAGGGAACCCATGCGGGACTCCATCCCAGGACCCTGGGATCATGACCAGAGGGCCGAAGGCAGATGCTTAACCGACTGAGCCACCCAGGCGTCCCTCTATATCCTATCTTAACTCTCACCAGGGGTAGGAGTGAGGGACTGAGAATTAACATGAGCTTCTGTATTTACCTTAACAGAAACGCCCAGATAATACCAGGCAGCATCACAGGACTCCTGGCTGTTACTCTATCCGTGGGGCAGCCATGGATGTATTCATGCCGGGAGGAAAACGGGTCAGAACATACTGAAAAGTGAGAGGGAGAAGAAAGAAAAGGAAGAATGTACCTTCTTTTCCAGTCGATCAATTAATTTCTGGAGTCTATTGATCTGGGTCATCCACTGGTTATCTTCTTCTAACAAGCCTTGAGGGGAAAACCATGAGGACAATGTATTAAACAGAGGGAACGTTTGGGCATTTCAGAACTTTTCTTTGACCTGGAAGGAAGCACACAGTGTCACTGACTAGTCACCACCTTCTTAAGAACTGCATTCACATGAGTGCTTTCTGAGTTACTGTGTTCCACAGATCCGCGTGCCCCCGTGGGTTCATTTTCGCAAGTCTGTGCCTTTGACGTCATTGCCTGCACTGGCCTTTGATCATCAAGGAACAGATCCTGCTGAGCCATTTTTACCAATCCATGAGATGGCTGGTTTTTCTTTTGAAAAAACAGAAAGCATCCATCAATAATTCTAAGCTGACTTCTGTGACAGTGGCAGGAGCCAGGAAAGGAAGTAAGATGTCTGACCACAGCAAGGTAGCTGGTGTCTCCTTTCCTAGGGCCTAACCAGAATAAGCATGGGCGCTGTGGTCATGGCATAGCAGTAGGAGTGCAGGATCTGGAAGCTGCTGATCTTGTTCAGATGACTGGACTCCTCTGACCTCAGCTTCCTGATTTTTAAAATGGCAAGAGTATCAGTGGCCACATAGTTATTGTGAGGATTCAATCAAAATATATACATGTGTATATACACACACACGCACACATATATACATGCACACACGTGAAAGATGTGCAGATGTACATCTGTGTGAACATACACACAAACACATGTCTGTATCTAGCACCAAGTCCTCCTGCTAATATTGTTGCTGTAATGACCTTTTAAATGAAAAAACTTTTTTTAAGTCTTTTTTATTTTATTCTTGCTTTTTCAAGTAAGCTCTATACCCAGTGTGGGGCTTGAACTCACGACCTGGAGATTATTCAAGGGTGCAAAGGGAAAAGTTGTGGTCTGAGCCCCTGCATAGACATCCTGGCCTTCTTGTTGGTCTTTATGGCAGCTTGGCTCAATGATTTCATAGGCATTTGCTGAAATATTATTCAATATTTCTCGATGGGAGGATGTGATTGAATTCAAACTGTAAAACCTTGTTTGAGCTTTGAATGTTTGGAAGAGAAGACCAAATTATAAAGAGGTTGAACTTTACATTAGAATGCACTTCTTGCTCTCTCTGCATTCTTGGGTGAAACTCCTTGCAAAGCCCATCACGTAAATTAGGAGGCGAAACTAAGCAGGAGCACAGTCACAGAGAAGTGGATATAAGAAAAAAAAAATCAGAATAAGGGTGCTTTATAACAGAAAACATTGTAACTGTGTGAACAAAACTTATGTTTACTTTTTAACTTACAAATCAGTCAACACCATTTCCATCCTGGCTTGTTCCTAGAAGAATTTGAGGTGGCTGACACATCAAAGTTCCTTAGAAGGATGTTTTGGGTTTTGCTCTGTTTTCTAAAGGGCTAAAGCATGAAGAACAATCTATATTTTGACCTGGGAGCCTAGCATTGTTATTTCTTAACAACACACAGTAGGCTGTATTAGTGCTCACGAACTTCCCCTTTCTTCCTGGGACAGAATTCTCTGCCTACAGTCATTGCCCCTCCACCTCGCAGCACCTCCTACCACGACAGGTGGAGTAGATGTCCCTCCCCACTGCTACTGGGTTCGGTGTGGGACTCATTTGGCCACTGGAGAGTTAGCAGGTAAGATGCACACAGTGGTTTCAAGTGAGCCGTGTGATGTGGCCTGGCTGTTTGTGCTTCTGACACCCACCAAGAGAAGAAACTCCTCTCCAAGGAGGCACTGATCCCAGCAGGCTACACGAGAAGTGAAGCTGAACCCTACTTTCACCGGGGGAGCACACATCCAGCTGAGGTCACCCAAATCACCATCAACCACAGACCCATGAGTGAAAAAAGACAAGTATTTGCAGTGGTAATCACTGAGCTTTTGTGGTTGTCTCGCTGTAAAAATGGTCTAATAAACCAGATGACCTTGGACAAATTGCTTCCCTTCTGGGAAAATAAAGATACTAACATCTATCTTATAAGGTATTAGAATGAAAAAAGACAGTGTTCAAGAAGGCACTTTGAAACCTTTCAAGTACAGTCTGTGTAAATGTAGACTCTAGTTAGTATTTTGGTTTACTGAAATAATAGATATTTAAAGATTAATTTGTGTCAAAACAATATGCTCAAGTGATGTTTATATATATGCACACTCAATACATATACACATATGCATGCATACATATGCTTTATGGAAATTACCGATGCTTTGCAACGTGAATTTGTGTATTTCAACTGGATTACTGAAGTAATTATTAAAATAGCACAATTAAAATAACCTATAATATTAAGGTTTTAGGCCAATAAATGTCATAATATATTTCATGCTTCAAAAATGCCAGCTATGACTTTAATCCCATCATGAAAGGAAATAAAGATCCTTTCCTGAGATGGACTTTACATGTGTTTAGGTAGGCTTTAGGGAATCTCGAACAAATTAGGGTACAAACTAAAGGGTGACTCCTTTCTTGATGGGGACTTCTACAAGTCACCAGTCCTCGTGCAGAAGGCGACCGAGCTGCTTTCTGCCCTACCCATTGTTCCTCTGTGCACTGCTGGATGCTGCTGTGGGATTCTGCTGGAAACAACGGGGAGGATCATCCCCTGTTCTTAATACTGTAGGCTCTTCGCCACGTCGTTTCAAACTTCTCTGGTATAGGAAAACCATTCTATTCCTACTGCTGTTTTACTTGTTTAAAACATATGAAACAACTTGTTTAAAAAATATGTCAATGTGAAAATACAAACTGAGTCAGTTTGGAAGGAGAAAAATGACAAAGTTTCATTACCTGGACCGCAGGCACTAAACTGAGGGCTTTTAGGGGAGAAGCTGTTGTGTCTCTGGACTCGGCGACTTGATCGCTTTCCAGGCCACTGAATCAACAGGACTTCCGGCTTGGTCGGCCCTTGCCTTGAACAAGAGAGACAACATTTAACCACGGCGTGTTTCTTGCCTGGAGAAACAGATCTTCAACCATCGGTCACAAAGATTTTCTGGTGTAGTGAAATGAAAAGTTAGGAGAATTGCTGCTTACCAACATGCTCTAAAGACCCAGAAGACTTGGTTTTATAAATGTATAAATGTGAATCTAAAGGAGAAACTGTGAGTTGTCTATATTCTTTCAAAGTTTGAGTAAAAATTGTATATTAATTTGTGACTTAAGAAAAACATCTTACCTATCTTGACCAAACCATCAGTGGAAAAAATGTTTTTGTGTGTGCTGATGTATTTAGTTTGAGAACACCTATCGTGTTCAGTCAGTTTTAAGTTTTTTAAATCAAGGCTATGTATCCATATAATTTTAAAAATCAAATAATTCTACAAAGCTTATTTTAACAAATAGGAGCTCCTACTCCCCCACCTCCATATCATGCCCCATTCCCCTTTCAACAAGTGTTCAGGGAATGCTTTCAACAAGTGTTAATTTGCGTATTTATTCTCATGTCTGTATATAATATGCTTCAATTGCTATCATTTTATTCTTCAGTTTTAAAATGTATCTATTAACTTCCCACTATGAAAAGCTCAGGTCAAGAGTATATACAAGGAAATATTATAAGGAACTTATAGAAAAACTATTCGAAAGAATGGATTCAACTTGGGAAGCAATTCTTTGGTCTTTCCCTATTCTTCTATCCTGGTTGGAATACACACATGATAGCTAGAATTCCAGCAACCATATTGCACCATGAGGCAAACATGAGGACGTACTTAATATGTGAAAAAGGCAGGAGGTCTATGATAAATCTGTAGAGCTGTCCGGTGCTTAGGCTGCCACCACCAAGCTCTTTCTTTTTTTTTTTTTTTTTTTTTAAGATGTTTTTATTTATTTATTTATTTGACAGAGAGAGAGAGAGAGAGAGAGAGAGAGATCACAAGTAGGCAGAGAGGTAGGCAGAGAGGGAGGGAGGAAAGCAGGCTCCCTGCTGAGCAGAGAGCCCAATGTGGGCCTCAATCCCAGGACCCTGAGATCATGACCTGAGCCAAAGGCAGAGGCTTAACCCACTGAGCCAGCCAGGAGTCCCCACCAAGCTCTCTCATAAGATGTAATAAACCCTTTTGTGTTTAAGTCACTTTTTCCTACATACAGCCAATTCTAATACTAATTCAATCATCCAAAATCTTCCTTTACTATCATTAAGGGAAAATTTCTTTAGCCTCTCTCTAATGCTGATTCTCCCCAAACTCCCTTTTAAGCACCATGAGCGGCAATTTTTTTTTTTTTTAGATAAACGAACGAACTTAATAGCTTTTTATTTTTTTACGCTGGTTCTCCTTTTTTTAATTATGTTCAATTATCTAGCATATAGTACATCATTAGATTTTGATATAGTGTTCAAAATTTTGAGATACTGCATATTAAAAAGGTACTTTTGGGACACCTTGGTGGCTCAGTCAGTTAAGCATCTTCCTTTGGCTCAGGTCCTGATCTCAGGGTCCTGGGATCGAGTCTCGCTTCGGGCTCCTTGCTCAGGGGGGAGCCTGCTTCTCCCTCTGCCTGCCTCTCCCCCGTTTGTGCTCTCTCTCTTTTTTTCTCTGACAAATAAATAAAACCTTTTAAAAAAGATATACTTTTATTTTGTTCTACTTCATTGGTGGTTTTATGGGGTAAAGAGCTTTACTTTTTTAAATTCCTGTATGATTAATGTACAGTGGTATACTATTTTCAGGTATATAATATAGTGATTCAATAATTCTATGCAGTACTCAGTACTCATCATCCTAAGTATACTGTTAATCTCCTTCACCTATTTCACCTATCCCCCCACTCACTTCCCCTCTGGTAACCATCAGTTTTGTTCTCTATAGTTAAGAGTATGTGATTTGGGGGCACCTGGATGGCTTAGTCAGTTAAGGGACAGCCTTCAGCTCAGGTCATGATCTCAGGGTTCTGGAATTGAGCCCCACATGGGGCTCCCTGCTGAGCAGGGAGCCTGCTTCTCCCTCACCTCCCCACTTGTGCTCTCTCTCCCTATCTCTTTCTCAAATAAATAAAATCTTAAAAAAAAAGAGTCTGTAATTTGTCTTTTTTATTTTTTAAATTCCACATGAGTGAACTCATATGGCATTTGTCTTTCTCTTACTGACATTTCACTTAGCATTATGCTTTCCAGATCCACGTTGCTGCAAAGGGCAAGATTTCATTCTTCTTTATGGATGAATAATATTCCACTGTATGTATATGAGTATGTATAAATGTGGGTGTGTGTACACTTCTTGATCCACTCATCTATCCATGGATACTTGGGTTTTATATTTTGGCTATTATAAGTAATACTGCAATAATCACAGGGGTGCATATATCTTCTCAAATTAGTGTTTTCATATTCCTTGGTTAAATACCCAGGAGTGGAATTACTGCATCTTATGGTAATTCCATTTTTTAAATTTTTTAGGAAACTCCATACTGGTTTCCACAGTAACTGCACCAGTTTGCATTTCCACCAACAGTGCACGAGGGTTTCTTTTCCTCCACATTCTTGCCAATGCTTGTTTCTTGTGTTTTTTGATTTTAGTCATGACAGGAGTGAGGTGATATCTCAGTCAAATTCTGATTTCCATTTCACTGATGGTTAGTGAGTTGACCATCTTTTCATGTGTCTGTTGGCCACCTATATGCCTTCTTTGGAGGAACATCTGTTCTTATCTTCTGCCCATTTTTTTTTAAGATTTTATTTTTATTTATTTGACAGAGATCACAAGTAGGCAGAGAGGCAGGCAGAGAGAGAGGAGGAAGCAGGCCCCCTGCTGAGCAGAGAGCCTGATGCAGGGCTTGATCCCATGACCCTGGGATCATGACCTGAGCCAAAGGCAGAGGCTTTAACCCACTGAGCCACCCAGGCGCCCCTTCTGCCCATTTTTAATTGGATTATTTATTCTTTTGGTGTTGAGTTTTATGCATTCTATATATTCTTTATATATTTTGGATATTAACCCTTTGTCAAATATATTACTTGCAAATATCTCCTCCCCATCAGTAGGTTGTCATTTTATTTCTTTGATTATTCCCTTTGCTGTGCAGAAGCTTATAATCTCACTTGATTATGATGAATGATTTAACTATATTGGTAGATTCAATTTGTTAATGTGTTGTTGAGGAATTTTGCATCTGTGTTCTTCAGAGATATTGGCTTATAGTTCTTTTTTATTCTCTTTCATTGTAGTGTCATTGTCTGGTTTTGATATCAGGGTAATGCTGGCATCACAGAATGAATTTCTCTACTATTTTTTGGAATAGTTTGAGAATAGGTATTAATGATTCTTTAAATGTTTGGTAAAATTTACATGTGAAGCCATCTAGTCTTGGACTTTTGTTTTTGTTTTGTTTTTAATTATTGATTCAATTTCATTGCTGGTAATTGGTCTGTCAAATTTTCCATTTCCTTCTGATTCAGTTTTGGGAAGTTATATGTTTCTAGGAATTTATCCATTTCTTCTAGATTGCACAATTTGTAGCCATATAATTTTTCATAATATTCTCTAATAATCCATGATGTTGGATTGGTATTTCTCCTTTTTCATTTCTGATTTTGAGTCTTATATTTGTAAGTCTGCCTAAAAGTTTATTAATTTTGTTAATCTTTTCAAAGAACCAACTCCTGGCATCATTGATCTTTTTGGTTTGTTTTTGTTTTTAGTTTCTATTTCATTTATTTCTGCTCTAACCTTTATTATTTCTTTCCTTCTACTGGTTTAGGGTTTTATTTATTCTTCCTTTTCTAGCTCCTTTAGTTGTAAGGTTAGTTTATTTGAGATTTTTCTGGCTTCTTGAGGTAGACTCAGCGGGGAATCTGCTTCTTCCTCTGACCCTCCCCCCTCCTCTCATGCTTTCTCTCTCACTCTCTCTCAAATATATAAGATCTTAAAAAAAAAAAAAAAAAGAAAGTTCTATGTCTTAATTAAGCCCCAATGACTGTTAAAAACTTACAAAATTAAGCCCCTCTGGTTTTCAAATCCAAATGTTATAGGGGTTCATCTTCCCTATGTGAATCCCTTGTGTCTGGGGGCACCTATGGGGGTCTGCTCTTTTCCCTTCTCCATGTTTGCAGTGTCCATCCCTCCCAGAGACAGTCTTGTGGGTCTGTTTGGCTTGTGCCTACATCTCCACCCTTCCTACCATTTTCAATGTGGCCTCTTCCTACCTTTAGATGGTGAGAGTCTGTTCTGCTGATCTTCTGGTCATTTTTCTGGGTTATTTACATTGATGTGGGTGTTATTTAGGTGTATCCACAGGACAGTGTGAGCCTAGGATCCTCCTACTGTGCCATCTTCTCCAGAAGTCAGAGTAGAGAGATTTAGGTTGCAAATTATGTTCTCTTCAAATTTTGAAAAGGCTGTTTGATTGCATTCTAGTTTCCAGTGTCATTATTGAAAAAATCTAGTGTTTTCTTTGTTCTTTGTATTTGAAATGGCTTTTCTGTCTAGAAGATTTTAGACACTTCTTTTTGTCTTTGGTATTCTGAAATTTCAAAATGCCATGCCTTGGTGTCAGAGTTTATGATTTATTGTAATGGGCTCTTGGTCTGTTCTATCAACCTGGAAACTCAGGTCCTTGTTCTGAGAATTATTTCTTAGAAAATTTCTTTTTTTCCTCTTTTTTGGAATTACTACTTTTCAAATATTGGCCCTTTTGGACTATCCTATAGTTTTATTTATTTTTTTTTTCTTTCCTATTTTTCATCTCTGTGGAAATGTCATCATACTTTTATCTCCAAGTCTTGCTCACAGGTTATTTCTGCAACCATAATTTCCAAGAGCTCTTTATGTGCTTTGAATATTATTATTTTAAAAATAGCATCCTATCCTTAATTCATAAATGCAATATTTTCTCTGCCTTTTCGGGGTACTGATTTTTTTTTTTTCTTTTTTGGAAGCTTTCTTCTCTCTGGATTAAATTTGTTTCTCCTAAGTTTCTTTTCTTGTGTTTGACATGTTCTCTTGGTTGTCCTTGCCTATTTCAGAGGAAGGAAACAGGGATGATTGGAGTGTGTGTGTGTGTGTGTGTGTGTGTGTGTGTGTGGCAGGGGGGCTGAAGAGATTGCCAACTTGTAGGCCCCACTGAAGGGTGGCCTGACTTGGCCTATTCTTGGTACTTAGTCTTTCTCTTGGGCTGACGAGATCCCACAGAAAAGTGAGAGAAGAATCTCCAAACTAGAGTGTGTAAGTCCAGCTGTCAGGGCTTTGGGGGTACAGCATGCTGAGTGACTTTCAAATCTCACTGTTCAGTATGGAGACTTTCACTTAATGCCTGTGTTTTAGTATCGTGTCCTGACTGTTACAGTGCAAGCTGTGTATCTGTTCTCCTTCTCCAGAAAGCACTCTAGGCTTCCTCAAAGACTGAGGAGGGACACTTACCCAGTGTTAGATGGAGCTTTCAGCACTATGTTAGCCCCACCTTCACCCCCACTGTGCATGGGGAAACCAATTCATAAGCCTGAGGTTTGTGACACCAATTACGTTGCATCTTGGCTTCATACATTGTCTGTGTTTTGTCCTTCTCAGAGCTCCAACATCAGTCACTACTACCTTCATTTTCTTTCCAAATTCCAAGTTTCTACCCCTTTGGTTCATCTATCCTTATCTTTGCACCTTTATGACTCCTTGTTGTCCAGGCTCTGTTAATGACTTCTTTGAAAGTTTTAGGGAGGAAGGAAAAGAAATCATATGCTTACTCTCCAATCTTTAACTAGACCACCCTATGAATTCTCCTTTGACATTTAAAAAAGATCAACTTTCTTGCAGCTCTAGCGGTCAGAAGGACAGGTGACTAGAACAGTTCTCCTTTACGTTCAAGCTAAGGGAATGTAGACTAAAGTTTTATAATCACCTGCAAGCAAAATTAAAGCCTTCTCTTACTTGTATAATAGACAACCATCAAAAGGAGAAAAATATCTTCTAAACCTAGAAGGAATTAGTCATTTCTCTGGATAAAGAAGAACTTAGGAAAACAGAGTAAAATTTCAGATTCCTTTATAAAAAGAAATTCACATATAATTAAACTGTGTTCCCAGAATTTTGGTTTGTGAAGAAAAGAGGCTTATGTAAGAGGACAGAGGCCTCTTGAGGGAAGCTCCAGTGTAACGTGATGATTATTCTTGTCATTGGCTATTAGATACTTTCAGAAGACATGAAATTAAAGTGGCTCTCATTTAGCCAGTATGCCAGGACAGATACAAAGACTGTTGTAGAACACCATCTGAAAAATATCACCACTGTGGCATTCCAGCTGTACGCATCCCTTCTCTCTGAAATTGCCATTTTCACATGAATAGACACAGACAGTCTGCCCAAAACTGCATGCCTAACTCATTACTGCAGGATGAATGATACTCTGCGATTCCTCCCTGGGGTTGTAGCTAGAATAGATGACTTCTCAAAATTTGCTATATTCCAATGAAGTTTTGTATCCTGAGCTTTCATAAATATTAAGCCCCAAAGTAATACTGATGCTTAAGGGGAAGCAAATTATTATAACCCTGGGATTTTTAAGGCTATCTGCAGGTTGCAATTGTTGACTATGCAGGACATCGTGGAATCTTCCTTTACAAAAACAATGGGTGAGTTTTGGGGTACATTGATTTGACCTCTTCTATCTGACCTTGTTCTAACTCATCTCAAATCTTTACTATATACTGTAATGAGACTAATTTCCCTTAAAACTTGTTTTCATTCCATTTCTCCTTTATTTACAACCATCAAGACAATCTCTGATCATATGAAATCAAAATGTATCTGTCTAGCTTTTAGACTTGCTAACCTCAGCTGCCAGATGGGTTGTTCTCACCGTCCCAGGTCCTCATCCATCGCTATTCTATATAGCCCCCTTTCCCTGGGATTCCCTTTCATTCAGTTTCATATATTTAGCATGTAGTTGTGCCAGGTACAGGGAAGCAAGGAAAAGCCCCTTTCATTTAGAAACTCAAAGTCTCGGGGTACCTGGGTGGTTCAGTGGGTTAAAGCTTCTGCCTTCGGCACAGGTCACGATCTCAAGGACTGAGTTTATAGGTAAGTCTAAGTAGACAGTACTGAGGAAGTTCACAGTGTTGGAGTGGGCAGTATAAAGTCCTAGTCTGAGAGCAGTGTTGTCCAAGCAGTAATCAAACAAATGAGGAAGAGCCAGCCAGAAGGAAGAAGATGGGTATTATGGCATGGGTGAGGAAACCTTATCCTTCCAGGGAGAATATTCTCTACCTTTAAATCTACCCTAAAGATCCCATTCGAGTCTTATCTCCTCTGAGGCTTATTTACTGGTCTCTTGTCTAATACCATGGGAAAAGGAGAGCCATCTTTCCTGTCCTGTTTTTTTCTCCACTGGTGAGGGCCCCTGGGGCTCTCCTAACTTTGGTTTCTTGTGGCCACCTGATTGCTAGATGAGGTAGGGAGAGGAGACACAGTACTTTTAAGCATGAGCCCAATTCCCACTCTTCAGGCAGGGTCACTAGACACTTCAAGTTGGATCTATGGGCACCACCCCTAGCAGAAACTAGATTTTTATTTATTTTTTAATGAACACATCCCTCAGAAGAGTATCATGGATTTGGGGTAAGATCTGGGCATCTCTGGGTACCTTAGTCAAAGACTATAAGTTACATCAGACCCGTAATAGTTCTCATTCGTCCAAGCTCTGTTTGAGCTGGAAGCCTAGAAATAAAATACTCATTAGTCCTCTAGTGTCTTCCACTTTCATCAAGTTCTGCATTATCACAGGCCTTCTCATCAAACACAGCTGCTGTGCAGCTGTCGGCAGTTTTCACAGGAGGCCAAGGCTAGCCTGTGGCCTGACACGGACAGCAGCTATCTGTCATATATTCACTATATGGCGGTGAATGCAGAACTCAAGCTTGCAGGAGATGACTACAGAAAAAACCCAAAGTGCAGGTGAGGAAAGGAAGCACAGTGCTTTTACAGGCCTCCTCGCAGGTGACAAATAATTGATTCTGACAAGGGAGAATCCATATCACAACAAGAAAATCTAAACAAAACAGAGAAATCAACCGCATTTTCCTATGCAAAACACAAAATCAATTTGTGTCTCAAGATGTTTAGTTATCTTCTGCTCAAACTTCTAAAGCTATCTGTTATGCCTGCCATTTGATATGGAATCACTCAAGGCACTGAAAATAAGTTTATAATGTAAAAATGCGGCCCAGATCCATTGCACAGTGCAGACCCATGTTCATCAGCTGCACGAGCTCATTAGATTTGAGATTAGAGGCTTTTTGGTTAGAATTTGCTGGTGATCACTCATTTTGACGTTGTAAACACATGTTTGAAAATTCCACTGTTTTTCTGAGATGTCCTAATAATTACGTATCCATTAGTTTGTTTAGAAAAATTGGCCCTACTGAGCAGTCTATTATCAGCCTGTTCAAAAAAGTTCCTGTGCGGTTCTAATTTAAAATGCAAAAGTTAGATGGTCATATGTGTAGGTTTGAAGTAACACATGCAAAATATGTTGCACAAGCCAGAGTTTTGCCAAGCCCTTCTCTAGCTTGCAAGGTGTAAACAATGGCAACTCAAGAAAGTAAGTACCAACTGTTGGTTAGAATAATTTTGATGTCTGCTTTACACAGTTCTAATTCAGGTTCTTCTTCAGCATTAACACCCTTATTTACATAGCCCTTATAATAATAGCATTACTTACCCTCTCAGTGATATTAATTGGTGGTCTTGAATTTTGAAATCTTTCCCTACCATTCACTTTTTATTTCCTTAAATAAATAGGCTGATTCTATGCCCAAGTCTCCAGGTATATCCCCGTTCACTTAGCCTCTAAGTCTCTACCATTTCCACATTTTCACATAATACTCATTTGCAAGATGAGCCCAAATATCGCCAGGAAATGCCATGAATTTGTCTTTCTTCTCTCTATGTGCAGTCTTTTACTCTTCCTAAATACTTTGCACCTTATTTCCCCTTCTGTATGATATGTATTACTTCGCATCTTACATCATGGTTTTACTCTTCATGTCTTAGTAGACTTTAGCCTGCTGAAGAGTCAGGACTATGTAAAATGTATCCGTATTTTAAAGTCTTCTCCATCTACTAAATTTGCAATTTAAATTTGAATAAATGATGGACAGTAAAAATAGAATGGCTGCTTTTAGAGGCAAAATACAAGGCGAGCACCCAAAGGAGGTTTCTGTTATTCTCTTTAAACTTATTAATTCTCACTTTTAGTTTTCACTAGCCTAATCGTGATGCCCCTCAACTGTTCTTTCATCATCACTAAAGAGACATATGAAAATATTTAACTTGCCTTTCTTGACGGGTTTGTTCCTCAGTAGTTTCCATGGCACATTCCAGAGAATTCTGGAGAGACTGCAGCTGATTCAAGGTCTCCTTCAATAAAAATCGAGTTACAAATTGTTCCAAATTAGAGGCCTCTTGGTAGTCCTAAGGATGAGAGCAAAGGCAATTAGAAGTATGGTAAGCAAGAATATCCAGGAATGGTTTTCCCCCACGTACCCTTCAATTTCAGATTAATCTTCGAGGAGAAATCAGGGACAGAAGACATGTTGACCGTGGAGGTGGGGGCAGTGCTCTACCCGCCCACCAGAAGTTGAACATCAGAGCTGCAGAGGTAACAGGAATATCTAGCTCATCTCCCAGTGCACCTGCCTCAACATTAGGAAAAAGGAAAAAACCCACTGGAATTATGGAACAGACATTGGTAGAAAAGGAAAAGAATATTATCTGGTGAAGAAGGTTGGTAAGTGATTAACTCAGAGTCTGTTCTGTGCTTCATTTAAGTAATGACGATGCCATTGTTTATTTTTTCTGTTATCAACTAAATGTAGTCACGTTTCAGCAATTGGCTTAGTTCCTTCTTGATGTATTTATTATGCCTGCTCTGTATTATACTGAAGCCAAAGGAAATTATGTGTAGTTATCCCCCAATTCAGAAAACGTTAAGCACAGAATATTTAAACAGTTTACTAAATCTGCTTCCGTCCCTCCCTCTGGAACTTACCTGAGCCTCATTTGCATCAGACTCAGCCACAAAAGCACCAGGGATTCAAACAGCCCCAAGTCTACCAGTGATCATCACAAACACCATAGCTATACTTGCCGAGTTTAGTCTCAGGAGACAGGTGGGCTGTGCATGGTGCTATGCTGTTCTTGTCTTCTACAGTCTCAGAGAGAACCAAGAAAGAAAAGAAAAGCAGGCTAGCATGGAAGAAGTGTCAGAGCACTCGTTCAGGTCATGAGACCAGCCAGCCAAACCTGATTTCCCAGAGTATAGGGTGGAGATGATAAATACGAGTTCAGCTAAGAAACACATTGATCTAGCTCTGTCCCTAAATGATTTTTTTTCATGGATGAAAATATAAAACCAAAGGAATAACAGTGACAAGATAATGCTGGAGGTTATGATTGCTGAGGAATCTCAGGTCACGGTTGTAAACCCAGAAAACGAAGACGTAATTATTTAATCTTTCTGGGTCCTAGTTTTCTCATTTACAAATCAGATGATAACTCAGGCATACAGTCCAACTAAAAAATATACTGTGTTTCTACCAACCCTAAATTAGGACATAATGGATCGTGGCCTATTGACAGAAATCACTTTGGGATTTTTCTTCTGGTGCCCCAATCACCTAATGCCATAGAAATCCTCCTTTTGTTTCTACTTTGAAATCATGAAATGTTTCGATCATCAGTTTAAGTCCATTCTCGTAGATGAACACAGGGAATTCTCTATCTATCACATCTAATGATCTGATTTAAACTTAAAGTTTTTTAATGCCTTGAAACTCCACCTAAGAAACTAACCACAAGCTGAAACGTTAGATGCTTAAAATAACCTAAGGATTTCTGTGAGTTAATTCAAGGTAAACATAACCAAATATTTAGTTTCATCAAATAGCTTGCTACTTAATAGCAATAAAAACTTCAAAAAAATTATTCCTCAGTGTGTTTTTAAATTGAGGAAAGCTTTTGTTTTTCTTTTTTTTTTTTTAAGATTTTATTTATTTATTTGACCGACAGAGATCACAAGTAGGCAGAGAGGCAGGCAGAGAGAGAGGGGGAAGCAGACTCCCTGCTGAGCAGAGAGCCCGATGCGAGTCTCTATCCCAGGACCCCAGGATCATGACCTGAGCCAAAGGCAGAGGCTTTAACCCACTGAGCCACTGAGCCATCCAGGCACCCGAGGAAAGCTTTCTTTTGAAAAGAAAATGTGTGACAGAAAAAATGGTGTGCTTGATTTTTTCCCCAGCCATTCGCATTTTGTGAAAGCATATTTTTAAAATAAAATTTATTAAAAAATAAAAATATAAAATGTGTTAAAATATCAAGACAACATATTAATGTAGTCAGAGACGATGCTAATTACATTTGCATCTCGGTATACCTTGTGACTACAGAGAATATTAAAGTTTTACACCTATTTGTAGAGGGCCTGGAAAGTAAAGAAAGCATACATTCACTGAATATTCTCACATTAGCCTCACTCTTTTCTCAGTTAAATGTTAAGTATTTGTCACGTCAGAACTAAAGAACTAATTGCTTATCATCGCAATTAGATTTTAGCTTCCTAGACTCAAAGGTCATGCCTTATATTTCTGTGTGTCTCATGGTGCCCATACCAGATGTGCACTCAATACTTGATTGCAGAGAAACTTCTAAGTCTAAAAATGTAACTGGCTTGACTATTGTGGTCTTACATATCAAGATTTCGGTAATGCCAAAGTTCGATATTTAAGGACAGTTAAAATCCAACAATCGATGACTCCTTGGCGGCAAATTGTTCTTCCACCAAAACTTCTCTCTACTCTGATAGGACTTTGCTATGCTCGTTAGTGATTCTTCAGATAATATTAAAAGATGGCACAACCAGCTAGTACGCTGGATAGAATCACTGATATTTGGATGGACACTGAGAGGGGTGGCAGGCGGGATTAAGGTTTTGGGGCATTCAGTTTTTGGAGTCAATATGAAGATGGGCTGTTAACGTGTTACTTCTTGATCCTAAGGAGAAAAAAAGAGCTTGTTTTCTAATGTTCCTGTTCATCCTTCCAGACTCTGCTCACGGCACTGTCTCTGTAGTGCCTCTCCTTTTCTTGAGCCACCATTTTGCTTCATAGGATTAAGCACATACGTCTTTTCCCTTCTCTGTGCTTCCAGCCAGCGTGCAGAATTTATTATTGTATATTGTAATCTGCTGTCTACTTGCCCATATCCCTCATCCTAGGCCAACTCTTTTAAGATAGGGAATATATCTTGTAATCATCTCTGCCTCCAGAAAGCCCAGAACAGAGCCTGGCTCCATAAACGGAGTAGCTGCCCCATAAATGCTTAAAGGGTATGTGAGCTGCAGGTGTGAGGAGGGGAAATTCAGGCACCAGAGGGCGCATCTGAGCTCCAGAAACTGCTCTTGCCTTCCCCCAGATATCAGCTGCCTGCCTCTGCCCGAGCCCTTGCTGATGGCAGACACTGTTGTCCAGACACTGTCTGCTGATGGCGGACACTGGTCATGTGGGCTCTGCAATAAATGGAAATAAAGCTTTGTTCTTAACAGACTGTCCTCATTTCATTTTCTGGACCATTTGTTAGTCTTCTTCCCTTCCCTTAATCTGAATCCCAAGGTTTAGGACTGCAGACCCAGGTGGCATGAATCCAATCTTCCTTCCCTCCTTCCCTTCTCTCAGATGTGCAGCAGATGTTCCTTTGGAAGGCAGTGGCAAAAGAAGCAGATGGAAAATTAAATAGATAACAAGCTGGAAAATGTCAAAGCATGGCCCTTTCTATTCTCAACGAATGTGTTGGTTCTGCAGGTACAAAAAGGGATCTTTGCATGCTGAACTCCCCAAAACACATGTTCCTGCAGCAAAATCTAGAATTTGAGAGACTGGCAGAAAGAACATCCACTGGTCTACTAAAGCAGTAAAAAACAAAACAAAACAAAACAACACAGTACCTGATATCCAGATTCTGCCACTTTTTTCAGAAACAGTTTAATCCTTTAATGTCCATTAAAAAGGGTATGGGCAAATGAACACTAATAATATATTCCTCAGATCCCAATAACGTTCATTCCTATCATTGATAATTGTCAGTTAAATTAATCTTTACGTGGAAATTGTTGACTAGCATTAATATTTCTGTTTGTGCCTTTGGAAAGCCCGAGTGTGAACATTTCGATCTGCCTATTTCTTTTGTATGGAGCTGGAACAGGGTGAGTATTCATTCGAGTAAAAACCCCAGCATTAGAAGCAGAGCCCTTGGAAAGTCAGGTTTCTTAGGACCCTGCCTGTGCATCTTAACTGTCAGATCATTTCCCAAAAAGCAAGCTCCTGCCCATCTGTGTAATGGAAGAGTGGCGATCCCAGCTATTAAACCACTATGAATCATCTGAGTTAATTAGGAAAATCAGAGCATCAGTCTTCCCTGTTTGTATTTGCCCTACTTGAAAATTAATCAAGTCTGTGACATCCAGTCTCAGCGTCTTCTTGTTTATGAGCTCAGATGCAATCGCATTTAATGGGGGGTACTGCTTCTGACCGCCGTTTGATCTAACCCCTGCAGCTTTCCCTTTTCCTCTGTGAGACAGCTGTGCTGGCTTTTACAACAGGAGAAAATTCACTTTTCCAAAGATAAGGTTATTTCTTTTTCCCTACTCTTCCCCAAACTGTTACTTTTTAAAAATAATAACTGCCTTTCACTGCTTTATCTATGTCCTATTTCTAGTAAACATTCTTAGACTTTCATTTTAAATGACCTTTCTTTAAAGCTGGGAGAATACTATATCAAATTAAAGCCTTAAAAAAAAAATAAAGAACTGGTCCTTAATTCACTCTTAAGAATGGACTGAGGTTAATTACAGATAAGTAGTTAGAAATTTTAGATAGCAGTTCAAGAAATTAAGATATTTTCATGCTGCAGATTCCCAAGGATTATAGGAATTACAGATTTTCAGGTCAGTGAAAGAGGAAACAAGGCTCTAGTTCTGGAATAAAATGTTATTAAATTACCAACAAATTGAAATAATTTTTTAAAAGATTTTAGGTATTCATTTGCAAGAGAGACAGCAAGAGAGGGAACACAAACAGGGGAAGGGAGAGAGCGAGAGGGAGAAGCAGGCTTCCCCTGAGCAGGGAGCCCAATGCGAGGCTCGATCCTAGGACCCTGAGATCATGACCTGAGTCGAAAGCAGATGCTTAACAACTGAGCCACCCAGGTGGCCCCTTTTTATTTCACTTTAAGATTTTAAATTGAAATAATTTCTAAGCCCTATGTTGAGATATTCTTTAGTCTGAAATCAGAAAATACTTTAGAGAGGGGTTCTATCATTTAAGAACTTTACATTGACAAACTCCACTGTAGGGAGCTCATCCTGCATTTATCAAAGACTGATTTCACGTAGGTTTTTTTTTTCCTCTGGCTCCACTTAT